TGACTGATGCCGTCATGTTTTGGTTTAACCTGACCCTACGTCAGCTAACATTGCCCGTCGAGGAAGGCGATGACTAGGCATACGTAACACATGTCGTAACTATCTCAGTCGATGTCACTTCACAATCTTGTGGATTGATTACCCTACCTTACCTAGCACTCGACACCTAACCTCAGTATTGCTCACCCTATTATACCACTTCACGTCGGAGATAGAACGCAGACACGTGGAGGGCGGGTGAGGTTAGAAAAGGTTGAACCCAAAAACGTAATCCCAACTTACCATACGGTGGTCCGTATGTAAGTTGTCACACCTGGTCGCCCTTGGATGTACGATTTCCCCCAATGTCATCTGCAACCTCCCGGCCTACAGCGATGAAAACTACATTGCATTCAACAGATAGTGCTGCCTGCCATGCCATTCGAATATCAGGAGGATGCATTCACTGTTAACCGTCCCCTCCCACTGTCGGCCACAGTGAAAATCTATGGAAGCTATCACCTAAACCTGATGATATTCGTAAATAGTTTCCTCTCCAAACTCGAAATCAGAGCTATATTGGAGACATGCCGCGTTATAGGGGAGGTTGTCGTACAGAAGTGGCCTCTATTTCGAAGTGACACTGAGTGGAACTTCTCTATCAACGAAGAATTCCATATCCGGATTATATTTTGTGACGGAATAAGGGACTGTCCGGAACCTCTTCTAAGTACTGCTACCTGAGACAGGGCCAACAGTTTCCGTTTTGGCTGTGATGTGGCTTAGGCCAGATTCATGTGTGCATTCCTCTGATTGTGCACCAATCCCCATAAATCTGGTTTCTCTGGGTGTGCTTCTTGATCGAAGACTATGTCCGTTAGGTGATCCTCCCCGACTAGCCATCAAAATATGTGATATCCACTCCCTCACTCACATCACTGGATACAGACAACCACGAGCATCAGCTCGAATGGGACAACTAGCGTTCAAATGTTAGACAGAGGAAGCACAAAGAATGACAGGGAATTTCTGGAAGCCTGATATTCCACTGAATCAGCGACCAACAGCTGCATTAACATAGATCAAATTTACCAATCCATTAGAAGAAAGTCACATGCACAAAAAGTCAAACTTCAGGTCAAGGAAACAATCAATACTGATACAAGTAGAATAGAGGATGTGAAAACAGACAAAAGCAAACAACCACGTTCACTGTGTCCAGGAGGGATGACTAATAAACTCGTGAAGAAATATGAAACCTCACTCCGAATTGAAGTATGCACTGAAGATGTTGCCCAGTAGTAAGGCAATAAAAGCTCCGCGAGTAAACTTATCCCACTCAGAGAACAAAACCCTGTCAAAATACTATTCTCACACTGAAAGGCCAGGCTTCATTCTCCTAAGAAAATTGTCAATATTTTGGTGAAACTGTTTAGTAAGTGGTAACGACTACGACGACGACAGACTAAGAATGGCGAAATTGACGCAATATATCATAAGAAATACTTCTCAGGTACTAGAAAACAGTTTATTTAAGTAGTGGAAAAGTAGCATGATTGTGTATAAAATGAACAAATATGTCCTTGACTTTGTCAGCATTCACTTTCTTCTTTCAACTGCATGCTTTCTAGGATTTCACATCCTTCTTTGGTTCCCCTGAAGAGTAGAAACAATTTAAGACAGAGGTGAAAGAGTAAAAGTGTAAGTTGTGCAGTGATTTTAATTTACGTAAGACGACTGATGGTTTTTATTCACATTGTATTACATAATAAAAGTGATCACAGTTATGAATCCTTCCCGTGACCAAATTGTAAACCTTCACTACTCAACACTATCTAAACAGTTCTATAACTGATTTATCTACTTGTAACACGCTCCTAACAACGACGATTCTGTGTGTATGTCTTACCTAAAGATCGTGAAGATATAGTTGCTATTTCATACATCGAATGAAAGACACGTTTTAGTCCACTACAACACAGATTACCACTGTGACACTTAGATGAACTGAACATCAGATAAGCGAGATAATATAAAAGAAATTTGGCTGAATTATGATTTGATGAATTTCACTCTACGTCCCTTGACATTTTCAAGTGAAGCGGAATTTGTCAAAAAGTATTAATCCCTCTCATTTACATCTATTCTTCACACACTGAGATACAAACATCCCTTGTAGGTGCATTCCCAGTCAACTGGTTGGCACACTATGAAACATGGAGTATCAAAAGATGTAGTGAATTCTCTCTCAGATGCTCTGTTTTAAACCGTTCACACAAAAGTGTGTAAATACGACTTGATGACAGTATTTTCCACTTTATGTTAGGATTTATTCTAAATTTTAAATGTAATTGCTGTCAATATCTCGGTGTTATTACTGGTCCTGTCTAGTACTCTCAACAGTTATATGATGAAAAATAATCTCGCAGACGTTTCCGTAAAGTACCTGATTGAAATAAGCATAAGCAGAACAATCACATCAACCGGCTGTTTCCGAAACCTGCTTAAGCAACATGCTTGAAAAGAGAATCAGAGTTTGAGTATCTATCTACATAGAACTCAATCGTTTCATTTCACTTATATTTTACCATTTCCACAAAAATCTAATCGACGATGAAGCATCGAAAGGCCTAATGAATTCATCAATCAGTCTCAGTTGTTCAGTTTCATACAGTGAATAAAAAATGACAGTCACACTCCCACTAAAGGCTTATACAAGGCAATTACGCAACAGTCACGGCAATCAGCAAAGATCTAAATGCCGGGAGCCGACTTCTGAAATTACTTTTAAGGAAGAAAACTCTACAGAAATTACCAAATTCCACTTCTACACAGAGAGAAACTACAGTGGTCATGTATGTGACGCAATAGTGAAACGTCGAGTGTATCAGATCAACATGAAATAATGACATAAAATAAACACACAAAACAACAAACTCACCTCCATGAACAGACTGTTTATGGGTATTCAAATAACCAGCTTGACTGAAATCTTTTCCACAAACATCACATCGATGTCTTTTACCTAATTACGAACACAAAAGTATGGTGAATGAAAACTTGCAGTGAAATACAACTTCAGTAAAAGCATTCGTCAGTCGAATACAACCGAGTGATTTCATTTTTGGTTTCGTTGACTTAACAACTCGACACATTAGAGTCTGTAAAACTGCGCTACAGATAGTATATTAACCACTACCTAGTTTACATTTGTATTGGAGTTTTAAAAATATAAGATGAACATATTGTCACCTGAAGTGAATTAACTTCATCTTACGTGAGTTCAATGGTTCCAATACAGACAAATGAACACATACATGACAAAAAATAAAAGACAAATTCAGAGAAGAAAACTTTCTTTATCAGCAAAATCTTCTTCAAAGGCTGTACAGTCTTATTTATATTTACCAAAATTGTATAGTAGTCTATTATTGAGTAATAGGGAGGGGGCGAGCTGACATAATTCATATAATTACTCGGATGTGGCTTTAGAAGTAAAATAAATGAAATTTGTAAATTATGTTGTACTCAACAGTACGAAGGAAGAAATGGTTAGAAATTCAATAAGGTTACAATTGCTATTGAGTGAGAACAAGGGTATAACGACAGAAGACACTGGACAGGTAACAGATCGTTTATTGAGAGAATCAAGAGGTATTTAAAGATGTTTATGTGCATCATTATCAGCGGGGAAACAACCTCTTCTGATTGTTTGTCTTCTCGCTCAAGGTTATTCTGTCATCACTTTGTGGCCGTTTCTCAGAAGATAAAGTCATGTATTTGTGATCCATATTTCCACACTTTAACTCCACTGTGACTGGCTGGTGATTTTCTCAAGATTCAGCTTTGTTATTGTTTTTCTCATGACCCTGATTCAGGACGTGAACATTGACGTAAATTGCTGTCTACAATTTTGGCTTGCAGACAGCTCTCACCACAAAGGTAGTTGAGTTTCAATTTAACAAGTGTGAAGAGAGTGTGAAAATGTACAAAAGGAACATATGACAGTGATAATAGTGAATTCATTATTAAAGCAAAAGCAAACTAAAATTAAAATTGTAATTTGTTTTTACAGGGAACAACTAGTGAAGAGGTCAAGATCATGGTCGAATAAGAGACTGGACAAACTTTTTCTGTATACAGAGTTTGAAGTTGTATTGACGAATTGCCACAAAACTGCCACTTTGTCATACTGCGTTGCTGAGATTTGACAGAGCAGAGGAGGGAATATAGCGAAAATGAAGTATACAAGAAGAACTGGAAGAAATAAATCAAAAGCAATAGAATATTCAAGGCAGGCGAAGGTGTAGGGCGGATGCGTTGGCGATTGGTCAATACAACGCCGAACTCTGTATACAGAAAAGTTTGTCCAGTCTCTTATTTTCCCGTGGTCTTAACGTCTTCACAAGTCGTTCCTTGTATGAAAAATTACAATTTTACTTTCAGTTTGCTTTCACTTTGATAATTAATTTACTATTATTATCCTAACATGTCCCTTTTGTACGTTTTCTCAGCCTCTTCACACTTGTTAAATCAACATTCAACTACCACCTTTCTTCCTCACTCAATAACATTGTCAACCTTATCAAATTTCTAACGCTTTCTTCCTTTCTGTCGTTAAGTACTACGGAATTTACAAGTATTATTCTCACTACTAAAGCCACTTCTGAGTAATTGTATCACTTATGTCACCCCCTACCCTATTACTCATTATTGAACTACAATACATTTTTCATAAATATCAATACGACCGTACAGCCTCTAATAAGATGATTTCGTCAATAAGGAAAACATTTTCTTCGTTGAATTTGTTTTCTTATTTTCTTCATGAATGAAATTTAAATACTTAAGGAACACATCCACTTATCGTTGGATGACTGATTCCGAAGCACAGTTTAGCTTAAACCGAACTAGCAATCAATTCGCTTTTAGAAGCAAAGACAATTATATCGTCAACAGTATCATACTGAGATCATCTCGTATACGTTTCCATAAAGTGTTACAATGATTGACTTATATGATAGAACTAATCATAAGCGTAACAATCGAATCGAAAGGTTGTTTTTGAATCCTTCAGCTTGAAATGTGAATGTTTCGTGAAGTAAAATGTTTGCAAATTGAGATAAAATTTAATTACCTACATAAAATTCCTCTCATAACCCATCATTTTCGAGTAAAATTAATAAAAGATGAAGTCTCGAAAGGTATAGTGAATTCGAAACCTTATCTGGGTTGTTCAGTTCCACAAAATGCACAAAATTGAGTCAAGACGCTTGACTACCTCTATCCTGTCGCTGTTTTCACACAGAAGGTGAGGTGTATGCTGATTTTGTGGAAGTAAAACCTATGAGTGAGTTATGACACAATCAAAATATTTGTTTCTATGAACTGCTCCTTGTTTACACAGGTATTGTATTCGAAAAGTGGAAACTGGTAAATGATGAAGCGACATGTTTTCTCAAAAAAAGATGTTCTGAGAAATTTGATGTTTTGTTCCACAAACTTCTACACTAGCAAATATTCTTCAGAGAACTAATTATAAATCAACTGCACTAGCAGAATTATCCGCACAAGATCTTTAAAACTTTCCAAGGATAACTGGGTTCACATTTGTTTCAGAGACATTCCACAATTATTATTATCTTCTTGTTATTATCTCTTATTATTATCTTATCTTATTGATGGTGTCATTATTTAACCTACGTAAAATTTAATGTACCCCTGCTTTTGTCAATTGACTTGTGAAGTGAGTATTTTGATGTCGTGCTCGAAAACATGTCATGATATTCATACTGGTAGTGAAATAAAAGGGAATTACAAGTCCTACTCCGCATTCTCCTCTTCAGTGTGAAAATTAAAATGTACACCCTCAGCTAGAATTGTGTTTTCAAAAAGTGACAATTTGAGTATTTGTAATATCAATTTATGAACTAATAGCAGTTTGAAATCTACTTATAAGTCACGATTCATCTTCACATTAATCACAGTTCTGTAGATTTTATACGATTGAACTATAACGAAGACATGGATTCTATTCACATAAATAATTGACTACAATATTAATAACAATTTCTATGATCCAGTTACGTATCCTGTTGAACAAAATATGAAGCAAACAATTAATTAATCTAACTGCTTTGAAAACCTCAAGAATGGGAGCACATGTGAGTTTAAACCAATAACTAGTTTAAAAACACCATCAAGGTCAAGCTGAAAGCCTTTGAAGGAACCATAGACAGACTACAATTCAAGTTCAACACTCAAAAAGGGAAGTACGAAACTACAAAGGACACCTTCACTGGAGCTAAGTTGTAGTAGATAACCATTCAAGAAAGTTTTGTGGGAAAACTGCAAGTCTCTGAAAGTGATAACTAAGAAAACATCTTAAGCTATTTTTGAAAGAAAGAGGAGGCAAGACAAAGAATGACTCTCAACGGATACCTGCAAGCTAATCGTGGAGAGGACAATAGTGAAAGAGGAGTTGACTGAATACAAAGATGGACAACAGGAGGAGTTGAGTTTAATGTACACTGCATTGAATAAAGAAGTGAAGAAGAGTTCGAGGAAAGACAAAAGACAATTCTACGACACACCGGAAGGCAACTGAAGCAGAACAGGCAGGCCGCAGGCAGAAGACACCTCAGAATATTATATCAGATAACCAAGTCTACCGCCATCCGGGAAGAAACCGACCAAGATGACGACGACTAAAAAAGATGTTCAATGCGACTCCATTACCAGGGAGAAGAAAAAAAACACACAGTGGGCTGATTACTTTAAAGGACTCTTGAATTGACCAGCACCTGCAAATCGCCCGAAAACACCACTAACACCAACAGACGCACGGAACTGCCTACCAGTGCACACCAATCCTCCGACAAAAGCAGAAGTTTTAAATGTGACGAAGTTACTGAAGTCCAGGCACAGGTGAGGCGATTTTGAGTCCTTCGTATCATTATTTTTTTTGAAAAGAGTGAAATACGAATAATAGAATTTTCGCTGTTCTTGGAGCGTTGTGTGACTGTGTGCGTCCCAAAGGATTTTATTCACGCATAAAGAAGGACGCAGAAATAGGTTTCCTGAGTTCCGAACACGAGTCCGTTTGGGTAGCTTTAGTTATCAATTTTCATACTGAGAAAATATGATTGACAGACGCTCAATGAAGATATCTACGGATCATGTTGTGAACGAGGAGAATGTGGATGAGGCATTCAGGAAGGCGACATGTCCTATGAGAACGATGACAATGAAGAATGACAAATACGATGAAGTAGTCGATAGTGAGCTAGATGATGGAGAGATAGATGATGTTCACGTTAACGGAGGCGATGGTCAAGAAGAATACGTTAACTACGATAGTGATGACGACGAGAAAGAGGAGGCAGATGACAAGACAACTCAAATTTCTACGGAAACTAAAAATGCTAAACTTAATCCTACTCTTCTAAAACCAGCCTCCCAACATAAGAGTGAAGAAATTACTCCAAAAGTTCCCACTAACTTGACAGAAAGAGTGACTGCAGAGAACAAAACTCAGGGTGACAAGCACAATAACACTGAGGCAGGATATGTGACCATAATGAACGGTACTCATAACTTGGATAGTTTAAGTTTGAAGAAACGGCTAAAGTTTGTAAAACTAAGGTTCCAAATAAAGCCAATCGAGGTGATACCTAAGGGCAAACCAGAAAGTGATAGATCAACTTCGAATCTGTTTGTTGGTAAGGTCACCAAATCCAAGACTATTTAGCAACTGAAAGGTCGCCTGCGTATTGGTTTTCAGCTTGTCTTCCTTAAATTGCTTGACAAAACACCTATTATCACCAACGCGATTACTTTATTCTCTTCCCAAAATATCGCAAAAAGATGTGCGAAATATTCAGATCTTTGAAGCTAGTTGACTCGGTAGTTTTATTTGTGAGTAAAAAAGAGATGTTCATGCAGATTAAACACCTAGTTCTCAGCAGTCGTGCACTCTGTTTCCCATTGTGCCTGCAGGCTTATCCATCGAATGAACCAAGATGT